AGCACCGACTGAATAGCCGTAGCAATAGCTTCCCCCAATTGAGCTACATCAGGGAAACTAGGCTCAGCTGAGCGACGTGGTTCCCTACGAGGCGGCATAGTTCTGACAGAAGATACCAAAACAATTAGAACACTCACAAAATAAGCAGGACTACCAAATCTAGGCTCTAATACCAAATTGACACACCCCGACCAGAGTCAAGGTGTGCTGGTCGTCCCGTGAGAATGACGTAACCATGTGCACATTGCGGAAGCAAAATTAATAATAAAAGTACGAATAAATAAAAACTAAACTACTAAAAAAACTAATTAAAGTAACATATTAGTGTAAGACTAAGTGGGATAAACATAATCAGAGCACAGAAAGCCTAAGTGCAGTCCAGAAGAACGAATACTAAATACACAACACCCAAAGGTGATCCTACATTTATGATGTTTTGTCAGAACCACCGTCAAGTCCTCATGAACCACTAAAGTTGCTTCTAACTAGAACCTGGAGGGGCACAAAACAGAAAGTGTGAGTGGGCAAAAACAACGCTTTTCAAAATCATTTCATTATCAAAAGTTCTAAACCCTGGTCGTAAAACCTGTATAGTTTCCCAAAAACTAGAATATACACATATATAAAAAAAACATGTTAAAAAAGATGCCATATCGAATGCCTCCACATAAAATGTAAGTAACCTAGGTAATGTCAATCAATGCAAGTAACATATCAGCCGGAATCACCTAACGTGACCTATACGGCTGAATCTAGAGCTCAATTCTCCAACTTACTAACTATACCTGCACACGAGTTGGAATCACCTAAAGTAGTATGTAAGACAGGACTGGGTGTAAATTATTACGCTCAAATGCTACAATCACGTGAAGACTGGGCGAATAATCGCGGGTCACTACGAGTCAAAACCACCTAAAGTGGTTTGTACGACAGGACTGTGCACCTAACTTGGATCCAAGGTGAACGTATGGTGCGGGAGGTGAACATCACGTGAAGGACTGTGCCCTAACTCTGGGAGGGAGCATTAACACCGGGGGTGCAGGTTATGAGCTCTCTATGCATCTCACATAACTACTAATTCACAGCCATAATTTATAAACTTACCTGCCACTTACCTATGCGTCCGCAGTACCAATAAAAAATATATGCAACTACTAATGCATAAATAAAATAGGCAAAGACTATGCATGGCATTTAAAACATATAAACATTCCATTTCATTTTCTAGGAAAAACCACAAGTATATAGGTATATACGAAAAACCAAAAGCCCACTCACTGATATGTGGAAGGGTCGTAACCCCCGAGCCTTGAGTGACTACGCTCGTCCTCAGGATAGGTCTCACCTATATGCGAAATAACTATAAAAACGTCAAGTAAAGCACATAACCAAAACTAGGTAATAACTTCTCATACAATGCTCAAATGGGGTGTATGAATACACCAACATGACCTACTCAACCTCACGAACAACCCTATATTTTTAAAATAATATTCCGATGCTCCACGCACCGCCACGCGCCGATGACTGCATGGACCTACGCGCCCACCACGCGTGGCCACGTGCCAGGGACACTGACTGCGTCAGTTAACGTCGTCAAGAATATTCCATTAAACCCTAACAAATTTCATTAAAACTGACTGATGGCGTCAGCATATTCCGTCCAAAACTGACGGAATATACTATCATCTCTCCGGCGAATCGCCGGTCGCCGAAAAACTAGAAAAAACTTTAAACCCTTCGTTCTCACTCATTTCTTCACCAATTTCTACACCAATGGAAAGCTGGAGATGAGTAGAACAACATTATACCTATTTGAATCCTCAAAGATCATAGGATCTTGCCGGAGAAATTCAAGAAAAAGGGAGAAGAAGAGAGAGAGAGGGAGTTCGAGACAAAGAGAGGTACACGGGGGAGGAGATGAGGATGAGAGTGTATGGTCCAGATGCAACCAACAAAACCACAAAACAAGCACCCAAAATGACAAATAACCACTAGGGGCAAAATCGTCATTTCACAACTACGATACGAATAATTCGGAACGGACTGTCACATTAACGGGTCTTGTCATGTAATACCGTTAAAGTAAATGGGTAATATGACCCGACCCGAAATCAACCGTTAATATTATCAGGTAATATGACTCGACCCGAAATCAACCGTTAATATTATCAGGTAATATGACCCGACCCCGTTATCTTTTAAGAAAAATATATTTTAAATCAATAAAAATGAAAATGAAAACATAATTTGATCCAAAAAAATGTAAAACATAATACTAAATTAGTATATACATACTAAATTTCGAAGTTGACCCCTTCATAAAAGTTGTAAAGCTTTTCATTACGAGTGATTACATTTTCCACATTTCTACAATAATTATTATTAATTTTATTAATTTTGCCCTCAAATAAAAAACATTGTTCATGAGATTTGGAGGGTTTTAAAAATCTAAACGACCATGTAACCATCGTCTAAGTGTTGACGATGCAATTATAAATGTTTATTATGCTTTCACATCTTTCAAACTTATACATTAATGATGATGAATTTTGTTTATTTTGGACTCCCTTAAAAATACTATTCATGAGAGTTTGTGTGGTTTTAAAAATTCAAACGATCGTATACCTATCCTCAAAGCGTAGAGGATGCAACTACAAGCGTTTGCATATTTTTTTCATATTTTTCGCACATGTAAATTAAATATTACAATTTTTTCAATGTGTTTGGTATTTTTAAATTACTTGATAGTTTTATTTTTAATGTGTTTTATGATTTTTAATCTCAATCCTTGCCTATAATATACTATAAAAAAAATAAATAAATAAAACTTAAAATTTAAAATTTATATAGAATAATAATTAATAAACAATATATACATATTCATTATATCTATTGTATTTTATAGTAAGTTTTTTTTAGTATTTTAAAAAATTAAAATCATCAAAATAACTTTTTTCTTATCGTGCCGAAACAGGTTACCCACGTGTCACTATCGTGTAAACCTATTAAGGACCCGTTATTAATGGGTTATTATCGTGTGACCCAATAATGACCCGATTAGTAATCGTGTTGACCCGAAAACCTTTATTTTTGTGTCGTTTACATGTCATGTTAACGGATTGTGTCAGAAATTGTCAGGTCTACTATACTTGTTTAATTTAATTTCGGAAAACATGTTAAGTGAAATTTATCCTAGTATGATAAATGATAATAAGGAACTCTCATAATAAAAATAGATAATGACTAAAACTTTTTTTTTTTTTAACTTATATAGAATAACAATACAAAACTATATATTTAATAGAGAATATATTGTATATATTAATATGGCTATTGTATTTTATAATAAATCTTTTAGTAATTAAACTTTTAAATTATCAAAATAATTTTTTTCTTAACGGGTCAAAACGGGTTACCTAGGTGTTACCCGCGTGTATACCTGTGAAGAACTTGTTATTAACGGGTTCTTAACAGGTCACCGATAATGACCCGATTGGTTATCGTATTGAGCCGAAACCCGTTATTTTCGTGTCATGTCAGAAACTGTCGGGTCTACCTTTAGGTAATTGGTCTCTCTATCAAGTATACTCATTAAAATGCCTTTTAGATAATGCTTTATATCTGTTGTCTACACAATTTCTTTGCTCTCTATTCTCTCTCCATCACATTCATACAACTTCTTTCTAGTTATTTCTAAGGGAATACAATTTGGTTTTGCTAATCGAATATTTCATACTTTGTTGTATCCTGGAAGTGATTGCCAAGAACCCGTTAGCAAACTCATTTGAGTGGGGGCAAATAACATCTTAAGGAAACGATTCAAGTCGTACCTCAAAGTCATCATTTAGATTATTCTCTATATTTCTACATTTACAACACCAGCTAAGGCCAGGCACTAGGGCTGCTCGAGTGCAACGTCTGCATGGCCTGATGATCATTCTTTTTGTCAAAAAAGAATAACGTATTAGCACTAAATTTTTTTTTAAGGATAAATAAAAATTTATTAACAAGGAAATAAAGAGGGTGAACATGAGTACAACGAGTAGATTTCTAAGTTTTAAAAGAATTAATTTTTATGGAACTAATACATTAGAATAAGAGAAGATTATAGCGTCTGTATTCCGACTAGCTAGCTAGGTGTAAAAGTTCAAGAGAGATATAGATGTTTTCCGATCGGTCTCTCAAGTCATTTCTGCTTTGTTGTGCTCTCCTTCTGCCAAATACATAAAAGATAAGTTCGATCGACTATGTTTTGCACAGTTCTAAAGGCACATTAACATATATTGCCTTCTAACCTAATCAGTTTTGATTGGCTAAAGCTACGTAGCATATCCCCTCGTCTGCTCTTCAACCAAATTAATTAGGTAACCTTTTTTCACATAGCAAGAATAAAGTTGATGGCTATCAGAAGTAAGCCAGGTTCATGAAAGGAAAACAAAAAGAAAATGGAATAATGATAGGGAGAGAAGTATTCATAAGATCAATAGCTGACGGTTGGTTATTGTATGGCAGAAATTATATCGTACATGCGCGACTTGACGCAGGGCTAGTTATTCTATGGATAGAAACATGCTTATGTATATTAAGTGGAACGAAAGAAAAGTAGATGTCATCAATTACTTGTTCGATCTACCAAGAATGAAAAGTGAGTTGTTTTCCATCATGTAAAACACCATGCGATTGGCTTTAATTCGTGACCAAGTAATCACCACTATGTAAACATTATTATACACAAGCTTTTGGTTCATGTTTATGACTCATCAAATAGCATCTTTTGGACAGTTATAGGTCATGTCTACACAACTTATCCATAGTAGCACACAGGAAATGGTTTAAAAATTAAGGAAACTTTAATTAAAAGAATTTCAACAAATATATATATATATATATATGTATGTATTTGAAGAGAAGTACGATATTCATTGCAATCAAATCAGAACATGTACAAACTGAAGATAGTGTGCATAATGGACCTCCATAAAATATTATCGGGGCTTTCAACCCGGTCGAAGGGAAAAGAGTGTCCCGCACGAAAAGGACCTATCCTCAAATAACAATACATAAACAAATTACAAAGTATCTTCGAACAAAATATCCCTAAGCAAGTCGGGGGATCTTCAAACCACAAAAGTTGTTGATTACTACCAATACCCACTAGATCAAGACGGTGCTCTGCCGAGTTACTTCCCTGCTGCTCATGGTTCAGCAGCAACAGAGGAAATGATTGAAGTAAATAATGAAGATCGTTAATGATAGGACCCAAGAGCGAGTAGTCTTCATCCTGTCCCTTCACAGCAGCCAATACCAGACTAGAATCGCATTCGAAAATTATGCTTTTACCAAAAGGAAGCTTGGGCCACAAAGTAACCTGGCGGGCGGCAAAGAGCTCAGCATGGAATGCTGAGCGTGTTCTTCCAATGGAACTATCAATTGCAGCTATGAATTCTCCCCTATGATCCTGTATAACAGCACCAAACCCTCCTCGCAAATCTTGTTGGATCCATGCTCCATCAAAATTACATTTAATCCAACCAACATCAAGTTTATCCATTTCTGTGGGGGACGGGTGGACTTCTGATACTCCTGCAACCAGCCCTCCGTTCGGACCACTAGTTCATGCAGCGACAATCAAGCCCCATTCCAAGCAGCATTATTCCTATTCTTCCACAACATCCATAGAGTCATCAAATAGAGTTCAAAAATCGAGGAAAGAGAGTGCACAACAATGCTGGATAACCAATGAAGAAACTGTTGATTGCCTCATTTCTCAAGCCTAAACCCTAAATCGGTAAAACAAACCGCCTTCACCATGCTGCAATCCTTTAAAACATGTTCAGTCGATTCACCGTGAGAACCACACATACCTCAATCTTTTAATTCTAGGTTCTTGGAAGAGAAATCATAAACTTGCTCCCAAATTCAACCATACCATCATTTGGATCGTAAAAAAAAAAAAAAAAAAAACAAAAAAAACAAAAAACAAAAATTCTTAATCTTGAAATTTAGAATAGTTTTTTTTTTTTAATTTTTTTTAATTTTATCACACCATGCCTCATCCCTCTCATTTCTCCTACTTATTTCTTCATTATGTCTAGTAAAAATTTAAACACAGTTCTAGTTAATAATATTCTATATATACCGTAAAACCTCTATATAGTCATAATACTAGGATCAAAGGTAAATTACATTTTATCTTCTCCGCTTTGGGTGCAATTACAACTTCTTACAATATCTTTAAAACATTTTAATTCCATATAAAAATTTGTATTTTAATTGCAACTACATACATCCGTTAATCAAATTCCATACAAAAACCTGTATTTTAATTGCAACTTCATACATCCATTAATCAAACCATCAATTTGACTGTTCAGTGTTGACGTGACAAGCCTGGAGCCCACACTTTTTTTCATACGAATGTCATAATAATGCCACATACGAAAAAAAAAATGAAAATAGAATTGTTTTCGATTTTAATTTTAAAGTTATTTAAATTATTATAAAAATAAAATAAAATAAAAAGAAGAAGAAGAAGAAGAAGAAGAAGTAAATTTTATGCAGTTTTATTTACAATACAGCGACCCACCCCATCTACAACATCCCTTCTCCTTCTGTCGGAGATCTCACCCCGGAAACGACCTTTCAATGGAGAAGAGGTTTAGGATTTCATTGCAGAAGCATTTGTTGGAGAAGGCTTTACCGGATGCGGCGGTGTCGCGGAGAGTTAACCTAGATAGATTGATTCGAACCTGCCATTCTCGATTTTGCATTTCGGGTTGATTGGTTTGTTGAGGATCCGAGCTTTTCGCATGTGAAAACTAGGTCAAGGATACGGAAAGAGGTGAAAATGGTTGCTCAAAGTTTGAATGGGCGGTGGTGATGAAGAAAGAAGGAGGAGATGGAAGTGGTTGCTTAGGTGGGAGGGGAAGAAGAACATGAAGTCTTTTCAAATTAATAAAATACTTTTCTTAAAGTAATAATTAATTTTTTTCTTAATTTTTTTTTTCCACATAGCACAAAGGTGGCAGCTATTTCATTACTTAACGGTTAATTCAACAGATGTTTTAATAGATGTCTAAAATTGTAATTAAATACAAGTTTTGGTATGAATATTAATGTTTTAAAGATGACGTATGAATTTGCAATTGCGCCCAAACTTGATGGTTCAAAATGTTATCCATTTTATTACCATAAGGAGGTTATTACTTGATAGATGTGTAGTTATAAAACATTATTATTTACTAAGTTATCCTTAAGGAAATTGTTATTGGCACTCCAAAATTCTCATTATACACTCCAAACTTTTTATATTTAGAAAGAAAAATACACTTGTGAGAAGTGTAGAATGAGATTTTTGGAGTGCCAATAACACTTCCTATCCTTAATGAAAGTTGTATAGATACAAAGAACAACATTAGTAGCAAATTCCAAGATGTAAACATGAGAAAAAGAGTGACATCTAATCTCTAAAAGCATACTGAAAGTTTCATGCCAAGAAGTTGTATACATGCTTCAAAAGTTTGAAACATTTTGGCATCAACAAGAAAGTGCCTATGTGGAAGATCTATTATGTACCCTCACGCTCAAATACATGACCTCATCTCTAAAAAATAATATTGTCCTAAACAAATTGAGAGAAATATTTTAGTTCATCTTAAACTTTTATTTGTGACATTGCATAGTTTTGGATTTGTTAACGATTATTACTATGTAGAAGCAAATTTCTTTAATAGAGACTTAGAAAAAATATAACTTATTATACTATGGAGTTTGTTTCCATACAAATTGGAACCTAAATATTTTATTATTATAAAGAGGTTATTCCCGTATAGAATATTACTATAAGAGAATTTACTTTACTAATAGCTCACACATGCTCAAAAGATTACTAGTGAACATATGTCATATAGCAAAGTTCACATACATCAACATTTCACGCGTCCATCCGCACACCCTACCATTCTTCTTCTACCTAAATTAATTACTCTATATTATTAAGCAAACACTAATTGCATCACTTTGCATGCTTGATGCTTCCTTCCACCTTAATCGGTACTCTTTGTATGACTCATGAGGAACGGTAGGGTCGCATTCATTTGATGCGCCGCGTAGGGGACCCGTATAGTATGAGTATTAATAATACAAGATGTATGTTAGTTTTTTGTGCATGTTATTAGCACAGGATACCACAGTAGAGGTGAACTCATATATAGAAGCTGTTCCAGAAGCTTGAACGTTAAATAAATGCCACAAGTAGTGTAAATCCGTAGTACATACTACCTGCAACTGATTCCGTGCTTATAAACCCACGGAATGAAGCAGTCTTAGTCAACTTCTGTTCTGTAACCTGGCAACATCTCCATCGTTCTTTCCCTTTTAACCCTAAGATCAGGCCAATTCACTCAGAAGCTTTTGCAAGCCACTTCTTCAGGTGTTCCCGTACAATGTGTCCCGAGCAAGTACTATATCAAAAGTCTTTGTGTTTTGTTGTGTGTGATACGGCCCACAGCCTACAAACAAAGCTGGAACACACCCTCTCAGCCGGGTCAGAAATTCTATGAATGATAGTAAAACTACGTGACATGTTAATGATAAAACTTTTTCTGCACTGGTTTGCACAAAATTGGTGTCACGGGTGAAATTATTATTTTTTTCTATGTTAAATTAACCCTAAACCTAATACATATGTATACATGACTGGTTGTATACTGATTATAATCTCAATAAATTTTGTAACGATATCTTGATATGTCAAGTGATATAATCATCACAAATGATAATTTTGCTTTCTAATCGAGATCAGACGCCCTCCATAGCTACTAGTTATTGTCCGTACAACTTGAGTGCTTGAATTTCCCTGTGTGAGGTATGATTCCACTAACAAAAACTCAAGTTGGGATCCAAGTACGAAAGCACCCACTGGCCATTTGTTTACACTAATTGGTTTCCCCATTAGCTCATTTCGTGGCAATATGTCATGGTTCAATTCAATAGTACTCATGCATTTCACAAAACGTGCCATCCACGCCTTTTATCATTATGGAATAATTTTGTTTCAACATATACTTGGTTGTCTTAGTTTTAGACACCAACCCACTCGTTCAAATAATATTATTATTAATGGAAATATTTTCCCTTTTTTAACTTTAGATTTCGTACCTTTCGTCTCACCTTCGTCATATTCTAGCCATCTAGGTCATTAAATCAGTAAAAGAAGAAAAATGAAATAGTCTTTATGTTGAATATTTGTGGTAAGGAACTTTTTGTGCAAAATTATTTTATATAATTTTTTTCTTTTTCTTTTTGACCAAACGATATTATCTATACTAAAAGATAGAGAAATGAGTTTAACCCTCACAATGAACTAGCTATTTTATATAATATTTAAATCATGAAAACCATGCGAATATTCAGAAACTGGAGGCATGAGGGTTCGAACCTCTTCCCTCCAGGTTGAGAGTGTTTGCTTCAAGCCAATTCTTGACAACAGATTTTGTGTTATGCTGGCTTCAAAATCATAAAATGGAAAAGAAAACATTGATGAAAGAATGAAAGGAGAGGCTTCAGCTTCATCTTGCACGTAATGCTATGCTTGAAATACCACATTTTTTCACGTTTAAATACAAGTGAGTATGTTTATGTCTTGGGAGTTCAGTGATTGAATAACGTACGTAGGCAACTTTTTCAGTTGGGGGATCCAAATTTCCACGTATTGGATGAATATAGGCCCCCAATACAAAAATAACCCCTCATTTCGTATTGGAGGAATCCACATAAGAGTCTACAATGACTTTAATTTCTTGAAATAGGGTTGTTTATTGCTAATGGATAGGATAATCCAAAGATTAGTGCTTGGACATATGGATAAGATAATCCAAAGATTAGTGCTTGGACATGTAGACAGTAGAAACAGTTAGGTTTATCTTAATTGTTTTTGCCTTTTGCGTTCTCTATAAAAAGGCATTTTCTCGTTTTAGTGTTGACATGCAAGCATAGAAGAGAAGTACAAGTAAATCGTACAACAAGCTTAGAAAAAGAGTGTGTGTTTAACATAGAGAAATTAAGATGGGAGAACAAATTGCAAATGGAAAATTGAGTCTCTTTCTTTACAAGATAAAGCCTTACGTGGCTATGGTTTCTTTGCAATTTGGATATGCAGGAATGTATATTATCAGCATGGTTGGTTTGAAGCGTGGCATCAATCACTTTGTTCTTTCTGTGTACAGGCATTTGATTGCCTTTGCTGTTAATGCACCATTCGCACTTGTCCTTGAAAGGTCTCTCTATCTCACATACATACATACATACATACATACATACATCCATACATACATACATACATACATATATATATATGTGTGTGTGTGTGTGTGTGTGTGTGTGTGTGTGTGAATATTTTTACCTAATTAAATTAATTATATATGTTGTTACTACTCGAACTTATTGTTTAATTCCAACTCGTTTTACAGGAAAATAAGGCCAAAAGTGACTCTGGGGATCTTCCTAAGAATATTGGGACTCGGAAGCAGGTTTGGCCTTGGCGGAGGGCGA